TTTTTGGTTTCCTTTCTGCCCAAACAGTTTGGGGCCAGGTAGCCATTCATTGTGGAGTCGTGGGGTGATACGAACCTTTACTCTGCTCAGCTGGTTAACAGAAAGGTTGGATTTCTGAGATCACCCAAAGGCAACTTGGAAGAAAGGGGTGGTGATTTACCCTCCCAAACTCAGCCATTGAAAACCTCCGGAGCTTACTTCTGATGCAACGCACACGGAATCACCCAGTTGGAATCGTCTGCGGGGCAGCTGGTTTGTAGGCTGTACTCAATACTCTAGGAGTCCCTGGGTAGCGCAGTTAATCACTTGACTCCTAGCCAACAAGTTAGCACTTCAAACCATCCAGAGGTGCCTAGGAAGCCAGGCCTGGTGATCTGTTTCCAGAGAGTCTTGAAAACCTATGGGGAAGTTTTACTCTGTGCACATGAGGTCACCCTGAGTCAGAACAGACTAGAAGGCAGCAACAACAAGCAGCCTTTATCTTAATAATGGAATTACGAATCACCTGTCCTACCTTTCCCATGGGCTCTGTAGAGATGAGGTGAACTTGCTTTAAGCATGCTGTTGTCATGGGATGCTGTTGGGTTGATCTAATGCATAGTGACCCTACTGGACAGAGGAGAACTGGCCCCTAGGGTTTCCAAGACTGTGCTCCTCAGGGAAGCACACGCCACATCTTCCGCCTGAGGAGCAGCTGGTGGATTCAAACCCCTGATCTTTCCGTTACAGCCTGGCACTTAGCCACAGTGCCACACTCCGCCGTCGTCAGGGAAGCATCCTGTGTGTGAATCAAGTTACTAGTGGCAAATTCACTGTCAACACAGCAAAGTGGTTATCAAGGCAAACAAAATTTCCAAAGCATATTCAAACAATTTATTTCATTTTTATTATAAAGGAGATCTAAATAAAAGAAACTTATTTGGCGATTATGCCTTGATTTTCTTATTAATCACAGTATACTTCAGATTTAAATTTTCATTTTAGGAGCTACAAATGTACTAGTAAGATTTACTTACATCAAACTACATGTTAAAGGTCACTCTGATATACAATGAAAAATATAAAAGGAAATAAATATAAAGAAGAAAAAAGACTTGATGTATGCATGATTGAAGTTATTTTTTTCTTCAATTTATAGTAGCTGTCACTAGTTCTTAATACATTTACTAATCCAACAATGTACACTTGAGTAACATAAGAAAATGATACTTTTATATTTTTACTGTAATGTAAGCTCCCACATGACATTTCTTGAACTATCTGTAGTTGTTCATTTAATATAATACTTTATTTCTTTTTTTTTTCATTTCTAAAGACTGTGCTTTAATTTTGGTTTAATATACACATCGATGTATGCAAATGTTTAATAGTTTCTACACATTGTTCAGTGACACTGGTTACATTCCTCATCTTAGGTCAATATTCTATTTCTCCTCTAGTTGTGTCATGCACATTAGATTTTAATTTTTTTAAATCATTTTATTAGGGGCTCATACAACTCTTATCACAATCCATACATACATCAATTGTGTAAAACACATTTGTACATTCATTGCCCTCATCATTCTC